GCGGGGTGCGCGCGCGCCGTCCTGCAGCGTCGCCGGCCGCAGGCCAAGGTGCTCGGCTCCTCGAGAGTACCGACGGACGACGATCGGCTCCTCAGCAGTGGGACACCGAGCTGGAGGCTCGGCCGGGAGCTCGCGCGGGCACGTGGAGCTTTCCGCTCGGGCCAGCAGGAAACGGGCGCCCCGCACAGCGACGCCCGCCGTAGAGTGCCGAGAGCTCGGCTCGACGCGAGCGCCGAGGAGAAGCGATCGGCTCCGCAGCAGTGGGACACCGAGCTGGAGGCTCGGGCGGGAGCTCGCGCGAGCACATAGCGAGGTGCGTGCGCGGCGGCGTGACACAGGTGAGCGGGCAGCTGGCGCACATTTCGGCTGTGGGAGCTGCCAGGAGTTTGCTCTCTCCGTTCACACCCCTTTGCAGAATAAAAGTAAAAAAATCGCCGGCGGCGGAGAGCAAGCCTCGTCCGGCCGCGATGCTGCGCTTCGCGGCGGGTCTGTGCGTCGTCGGCCGGGCTCGTCCAGCATGCTCCTCGCGCGCCCCGTGTCGCACCCCGCCCCTCGCGCGTCGCGCTCGCCGATCAGAACGACACGCACCCTTGGCCTGCCGGTCACGTACGACGAGGAGAAGGAGCGGCACGCAGTCATGCTCGTGTCGAACCAATCGCGAGTCCTGCTCAAGCCTAGCAACCTGGAGCCATGGCTCGTCGAGTATCCGCGTACAGATCGGCATCCGCGCTCGTCTATTCTGTCGCCGCAAACTCTATCGCCGCTCGATCACTCCGTGTCGGGCAGCGGCTTCTGTCGGTGAATGGCGTTCCTGTCCAGGGCCACGATCATGCGACGAGCCTGCTCAAAAACGCCGTGGGCCACCTGCGACTAGAGATTCTTGATGAGGCGCCGGGGCAGAGCGCGATGCCGATACCGATACGGGCGCCGCCGACCACTCCCACGCCGCCGCCGCCGCCGCCACGCCCGCGCTCGGACCCGATCCAGGTCTTCCTAGGGATCCGACAGCGGCAGCTCGCGTCCGGAGACTACCTCGACGTCTCCGCCCTCAAGAGGGAGGCGGAGGCGCGGCTATCGCTGCCGCTGCCGCCGCCGGTGGCGGAGGCGCTGCGCGGACTGCAGCGCGTGCTCAGCGCGGTCAACAGCGTCGTCACGTTGGCGCTCGCCACCCACAACCTGCTCACCCTGCCGCTGCTGGACGAGCTGATCCGCCTCAACCGCGACTTCGCTGCCGTCGCCTCCTTCGACGAGCTCCTTCTCGGCCCGCTCCACCGAAACCCCCATGTCCAGCGCGGCGCACAGCGGCTCTCCGACGCGACCGAGGCTGCGGGTTGAGGCTCGACGCTGGGACCCGACTCTCCCCGTAGGCTTTGGGCGGCTGAGACAGCCGCCGCCTCCCATCGGCGTCGACGCGATCATGGAGGCGCTGAGCAGGGCCGCGCGCGCCGCTTTCAAGTCGCGCGCCGTCGAGGAGCGCGTCGACTTTCGGGCCGTTCGGGAGGAGGCGCTCTCTTCTCTCGCCGCCGCGCACGGCTCCGCTCGCTCGCCCTCTTCCGCGAGGTCGGAGGAGCAGCCCTCCCCCAGAACCTTCTCGGAACTGTCGTGTAGGCGTGGAGGTTGGCGATCTCGGCATCCACCTCCGCGCGGAAGGCTTCCTGCAGGCGATGTGGGCTAACCCTAACCCTAACCCTAACCCTAACCCTAACCCTAGAGGGCTTCCTGCAGGCGATGTGGGCGCGCCTGCGACGCGAGTCGCGCGCCATGGGGACCTCGCAGGCGCGGGGCGCGCTGGGGGGCGGACTGCCTCTCGGTGTGCCGCCGCGCGACGACGACGACGAGGAGGAGGGCGACGAGGAGGAGGACCGCAACAGAGTCGGTGGCAGCTCAGAGCAAAACATGTCCGTCGCCGCTGCCCTAACCGTCCTCGCCAACGCCCAGCAGACGCTGCACCGCGCGCTCTCAAGGGCTCACGAGAGCGCACGGTGGGCTCACACGACGGTCGGCCAGAGCCCGCACTACGCGGTGCTCACGCTCCTGCACCTGCCGAACACCCACCGCAAGATGTTGCACCGGGCGGTCGAGCGGAAGCCCGGGCTCGGCTTTCGCACCCTGTCGACTGGGCCGAGGCACCAGTCGAGGGAGGGCGGCACGGGCGGACTGCACCGGCGCATGCTCCACCTGCTTCCCGCCACGGCGTCTGCGGAGCAGCTCGCGCCGCTGCGAGAGGCGTTCGACTGCCCTCCGTCTCGCAGAGAGGAGAGCAGGACGGCAGAGGAGGGCATGGCAGCAGAGGAGGAGGAGGAGCGCGACGCTCAGGCGCGCGCAGAGGAGGGAGCGGGCCGGAGGTGCGAGCCGGCCCTGCTGCTCGAGCACCTCTGCGGCGTCCTCGAGGCCTTGCAGATCGAGGCGGCCGAGGCGCCGCTCCTCGAGACGGTGGCGGCCGCAGAGGCGCGCCTGCTCGAGCGTCTCGACGCGGCCGCCTTTGAAGAGCTGCTCCCGGGCAGCAGCTTCGCCTCTTTCCTCGGGGCGCACGCTGCGCCGCTGTCGCACTTTTTGCCCGCGGCGGCCGGCGATGGCGCAGGGGAGGTCCGCCGCCGCGCCGTCGCGGTGGCCGCCACGCTGCTCGCCGCCACCCCACAGCCGAGCGACGCTGCCTTCGGCGACGCCCTCTGCCGCCATTTCTCCGCGCCGGCACTGAGCGCGCTCGGCTTTCCCTCCGCTGCCCTCGTGCGTGACAGCGTGGCCACCGCCCGCCCCGCCGCCTCCGCTGCCTTCTCTCCGCCACAGCCCGCCGTCGCCCTCGTGCTCAGTGGTGGGCGGCCGACACACGCACGCCCTCTCGGGTCAGTCACCGCCGCTGACGCGTTGCGCGCGTTGCGGTGCGCCCCCGACCTCGCCGACCTCTCCGAGGCCACTCTCTGGGACGACGTCTTTGCCGCCGAGCTGGGCCCGCTGCGCGAGTTTGTGCAGCGGCACTCGCGCGAGCTGGCGGAGGGCGCAGTCCTCCTCGAGGCGGAAGACGGGCGCTTCGTCCGCCTCTCCGCCCCCGCGCGCGTGTCGGCCCTCCGCGAGGCCGCTGCCTTGGGGGACGGCCGCACCGCCGCCGCCGTCGCTGCAGCGCTTTGCGTCGAGCATGGGTCGGTCCGGAGCGCGCCCATCGAGCTGCTTCGCGACCAGGTGCAGCGCGCGTGCGCCGGAGGCGGTGACCAGGCGGCGCGTTTCGTGCTGGAGGCGGTCGCCGCCTTGCCGCCGGTGCTGCAGGCGCCGCTTGGGCTGGCTGTCTTCCTCGACCCCTTTTGTGCAGAGGAGCCGGACGCATGGCGCTCGCTGCTCGCTTCTGCTTCGCCCGTCGAAGTGCGAGCTCTGTATCGCGTCGGCGCCGCGGCGGGCATCTCGCTCTTGACCGAGCATTTCGCCCGCTCCCTCTACACGCCCTCCGCAGCATCGCCGCCGCCGCCCTCCGACCGCAAGGTTGAGGGGGCGGCGAGCTCCGCCGCTAGCTCCGGAGGCGAGGGGCGGGAGGCGGCGTCCGCCAGCGACACGTCTTCGACGGCAGTCCAGAGCCCGTCGCTCGACCCGGCAGACGCGTCCGCGGACCACGAGCCGACGGCGGCGACGGCGGTGACGTGTGTGTCGGGCGAGGCGGGGAGGAGCGCCGACAGCGCTGTGCGCGCCGACGGGAGCGATAGGGCGGGCGGGGCAGACGAGGCGGACGCCACCTCGCGCTTGTGCGACAGGGTGGGCGCCATGTACGGGGCGAGCGAGTCCGAGGCGAGCGGGCCGATGCGAGAGCTGCGCGGGATCACCACCCGCGCGATCCACCGCCTAGCTGAGGAGCTCTACGCCGGCAGCGCCCACTTCGTCCTCGAGCTCGTGCAGAATGCGGACGACAACGACTACCCGGCCGGCGTGGTGCCGGAGCTGCGCGTGGAGGTCACGCCGGCCGCGATCCGCTTCTTCAACAACGAGGCTGGCTTCAGCGAGGCGAACGCGCTCGCTCTCTGCTCCATCGGCCGGTCGACCAAGCGGGCCGACGACCCGCGTTACATCGGCAACAAGGGGATCGGCTGGAAGTCCGTCTTCAAGATCACGCCGCGCCCGCAGGTGCACAGCCGCGGCTTCCGACTCGCCTTCGACGCGACCGACGCCAGCGGGCTGGGCTACATTGTGCCGCGGCCGGCCGAGCCGCTGACGGGGTGGGATGGCCGCGGAACAGTCGTTTTGCTGCCCCTCGAGGCAGCCGGCGGAGGCGCGGCGCTGAGGGAGCTGCGGGTTGCCCTCTCCGACCTCCGCCCGTCGCTGCTCCTCTTCCTGCGCCAGCTGCGCTCGCTGGAGGTGCGCGACGCGGCGCTCGGCCTGCACAGGCGCACCACCCGCCGGCAGCACGCCACCGACCCCGGCCGAGTCCTCCTCGAGGAGTCGCTCGAGCGAGACGGCCACGCGCCGAGCACGCAGACCCAAGAGTGGCTCGTCGTGACCCGGCGGCTGGACGCCGCCGCCGAGCGGCTTGGCAACCAGAGCACGGAGGTAGCCATCGCCTTCCCTCTGGTCGAGCCCTCCTCGCCGCTGCCTGCGCTGGACGTGTTCGCCTTTCTGCCGCTCCGCTCGTACGGGATGCGCTTCCTGCTGCAGGCGGACTGGGTGCTGCCCTCCTCGCGCGAGTCGGTGGACGCGTCCTCCGCGTGGAACCAGTGGCTGCGCTCCTGCGTGCCGGACCTCTTCGTCGAAGCGGCGGCCGCGCTGCTGCAGCGCGCAGGTGACGAGCAGGAGAAGCTCCGCGCCTCCAACCTGCTCCTGCAGCTCGTCCCGACCGGCGCGAGTGAGTTCTTCGAGCCGCTGGCAAAGGCGTGCTGCCGGCGCCTCAAATCGGTCCGCTTCTTGCTCACGCGCGGTGGGGAGTTCGTCACGCCGGGCGAGGCGGTCGTGGCAGGCTCGTCGGCGTTGGAGGAGGCCTCCGCCCCGTTGGCGACGGACCGGTTGGTCGCGCAGATTGGGCTGCACCCCGCACACCCGTCCCTCTCACTGCCGGCCGAGCTCGCGCGGCACCTCGGCGTGCGCCGCCTCGACGCGTCGCTCGCAGTGGAGCTGCTTGCGGAGCTGTCCAGCGGCTGGAGCGACGCGGGCGACGTCGACACGCGGTGGCCCGGCACGTGGCAGAGGAGCGACTTTAGCGGCGCCCACGCGCCGGGCAGCGCCGCGGGGAAGACGGGCGCATCGCCAAGCGCCGTCCGCCGCTGAGGCGGCTGGCTGGTCCGAGCCGACTCGTGCGCGCCTGCTGGTCACGGCGCTGCCGGCAGGCCTCATCATCAAGGGCGCCGCAGAGTTGATGCCTCGCTTCGCGGCCAAGGTGCTGCAGCTGCCACCCTTCGCAGGCTGTCGCCGCGCCGCTGTCCACACGACAGCGCCCTCGGTGGCGCGCGCAGGCCGGAGCTGTGCTCGCGTGTGCGTGGCTGCGCTCGTGCTGCAGCGGTGGAGCCTTGGCGATGCGCAGCCGCCTGAGCGCGAGGCCTTGCGCGCGGCGCTGCAGCGGCTGCAGGTCGAGCCTGCCGAGAGGCTCCGCACTTGCACCGAGCTCATCGACAGCAACAGCGGCGAGCTCGTGGAGCGGACCGCCGGTCTCGTCGACCGCTGCGCCCACCTTGCCGGTGCCGAGTCGCCACTCGCATGCGGCGGAGAGGGAGCGGCTGCCGACACACCCTCGGCGGCGCTGACACTGCATTTGACGCCGCGCGTGACGCCTCGCACTTTTGCTGTCGAGATGGTCAAGTTGCTGCCACTTGCCTTGAGCGACTGCACGCCGCAGCAGACGGCATCGGCCTTGAGTGCGCTCTCGTCCAGTCTCGAGCAGTTGTGGGGATGGGAAGGGCGGGGCGCAGGGCCGCCTCTGCCTGCGCTCGATTTGCCGCCACTGACTCAGGACGAGTCGTTGTGGCTGA